CTGCTGGATTTGGGTCTCCTCCAGAGACGATCACTTTGTCACTCTTCTGTTTCTTGTGGCGCCGACTTCCAGATTCTGCTCTTTCAGCCAAGCACATGCCAGTCCCACGATTTTTTCCCAAAACACAGTGGGTTCACGCCGATACATCCACTCCAGCCCGGCTGTCACCACCCGCCCGGGGTACTCCTGTTTCCGCAGCTCCTCGATTAAGGTAAGTACATTGAGGAAGGTAACCCCCGYGTTGTTCGGATTTCTTGAAATTCGTAGGATGGTATTTGCCACTGTGGCAAACTCGGCTTTGTGCGGCCCAAAGGATCTAAAATCTTTATACGTTCTAAATTGCAAGTCCTCAGTCCCCCAAATTGAGTCCCCATTTTTTAACTTGTGAGACATGATTATGGTTCTGGGTTCTCCGCTGATCAGAAGTCTGGTTTCCAAGAAGTCCAAAATTCCTAAACCAGTATCGGTCCTTTCAAGCAGCAACCCGTCCGGGTAGCAACGAGTAACAAGGTCAAAACGCTCTTTAGCCCTGCACTCAGACACCGAGTCCCCTTTCTTGAAGAACGAGACCGGTTAGTGAGGGGAAAAAGGAAGAGAAGTGTCCATGCCACCCAATGTGCACAATCTGTTAGACAAGTAGGTTGACGTGGGAGAGGCCCCAAGTGGAGTAGTCGAAAGGGCTACCAAGCACCGGATAGACATAGAACCCAGTAGCAAGATTCCCAAGGGCTCCATTTATCGGATGTCTCCCAAGGAACTCGACAAGTTGTGCAAGCAGTTATCTGAACTGATGGAGAACGGGTGGATTAAGCCAAGTTCCTCGCCGTATGGTGCACGGGTCTTGTTTGTGCCAAAGAAAGAGGGTGATCTGCGCATGTGTATAGATTATAGGGGTCTCACTGCGATAATGATAAAGAATGCTGAGCCATTACTGCGGATAGACGACCGGATCAGCACAAGATGCCCTTTAGGACTCGATACGGCCACCACGAGTTTGTGGTAATGCCGTTTGGGTTGACTAATGCCCCTGTGACCTTCCAGCATTATCTGAATGAACTATTCCACAACTGGTTATATAAATTCGTTGTTGTATATTTATATGATATTATGATTTTTAGTAAGTCGTTAGAAGAGCACGAACAACACGTTCGGTTAGTGCTAAGCAAGTTGCATGAAGCCGAGTTCAAGTTGAACCCAAAGAAGTGCGAATGGGCTAAGCGTCAGGTGTTGCACTTGGGTCATGTGTTGGATGAAGATGGAACCAAACCGGAATACGCCAAGATAGCAACAATCAAGGATTGGCCGACACCGCATACATTGACGGAACCACGATCGTTCCTTGGTCTGGCCAACTATTACCTCAAGTTCGTACGGAACTTTACTGTAATAGCGGCTCCCTTGTGTAGGTTATTGAGGAATGGGATAAGGACTGGATGCCTCAAGTGTCTGAAGCAGTGCTTGATAGAGTACTCGACATTGAGAATCGTTGATCCATGTTTGCTATTTATAGTTAGCACTGACACCAGCCAACTGTGTGTCCGAAACTGGATTCAACGTGGGTTCCGCGTTGAATGATTCAACGACCGTTAAATTCCGTTGATTTGGCGTTTAAGCAAGGGGTTTCACCGGGACCCGCGAGTATTTTTTCGTGGGCTAAAAATTATCAAAAAATGTGGAGTTGTAGATATTTTCGATGACTACAACCTCTTATTTTTATTTTTAGTTTTTGAGCTTTGTCTAATTTTTTAAAAATAAAAATCATATACACAATGAAAAAAAAAAAAAAAAAAAAGATGAAATGAGTGTTTTTTTTTTCTGGGTTTCACAGAGACTTGCAAGGAAAATAAGCAATAGCGAACTTCAGAAACCAAGCAGCATCATACACTTGAAACCAGATAGTCATGACCTTGAACCGAATGCAGAATTGCAACACAAGTTCCATCAAAACAAAAGCTCACAAGTGACAATGTTGGAATAGTCTCATCATCATCAACAATGAACCAATGTCTATATTCTATCTGGCGCCCTGCGCCCAGACTACAAATGGCAGATCCTATCTAGCCTATCTACAATGTCACTTGTGACGTCAACAGGTTCCCGAAGTATGAGCAGATCTTGGCCAATGTTGTTCGCCTCAAGCACCACGTATGTCTCTCGTATCACTCACAACCTCGATCCCCCACTCACAGATGCCACATGCACCCAAGGACCACCATGCGCCCCATCCAGCATAGTGCAGCGCAGCTCGGCTATGGTTGCCTGCTCATCCAGCTCGCCCGTGAGCACGTGGGCCTGACCAGCGATCAACGCAGCAGCGCTTGCAGAGCATGCAGGCAGTGCCCGAATGCCAAATGCGAGGGCAGGCACATTCCTAAATGGAAGTGGCCTGCCTGCTGTGTGTGGCCTTGCCGCGATGGGCCCCTGTCCAGAAGCTTCCGGTAGGCCCCGAGAGGACGTCCTCTGCCTGTCGGTCTTGGAACTGGCATTTCTCTATGGTCCACGATGTCGTCGATCTCGACCTCTCTATCCATGGTTGGGGGCAGCCTTGAGCGTTGTGAGGGAAAGTAATCAGTTTCCTTGAAAGGTGCAAGCTTGGCGGCGTGAAAGACAGGGTAAGTGCGAAGGTGACCAGGGATTTGAACTACATATGACGGCCCATCCGGATCATACCCAACGATATCTAGAACCTCCCAGGGTCCACAGTATTGTGCCATGAGCTTGCGGGATATCCCGTGCTCTTGTCCCAGTTTTGAGGACTTGACCCAGACTTTGTCCCCTACCTGGAATGTAGATGGGCGGCGGTGCTTGTTCTCAGACTCTATCATCGCCGCCTGCGCCCTGTGCATCTGTTCTACAGCTTGCTGCATCAGGCGCTCATATCGATAGGCGAATTCTAAGGTGCCTAGTGCTGCAGAAGGTTGATTCTCAGGTAGTAGAAAATCTAAGGGCAGTCTAGGTTTGAAAGTCAGCAGCAGACTGTTAGGGCTCACCCCTGTTGCACTGCGCACCGCATTGTTATACAAATTGGCGATGAGAGCAAGTTTCTCATCCCAGTGCACCTGATCGGGCTTGATGTAGTGCCTCAACAGGTGTTGTACAGCGCGATTCAGTTGCTCTGCTTGCCTGTTTGCCTTTGGGTGGTCCCCAGAGGTCATCTGCAGTTGTGTTCCCTATTCTGCAGCTGCGGCTTTCCACAGTTCACTAGTAAATCGCAGATCCTGATCGCTGATTATAGACTTTGGCAATCCAAAATCCCTTACCTAGTTTTCTTTCAAAAGCATAATTACGTACTCAGTCTTGGTTGTTACAGGCATTGCTACTAACCTAGCATGCTTACTAAACCTATCCACAATGACCCAGATTCCAGCTTTCTTTGAACAACTTAATTACGTACTCAGTCTTGGCTGTTACAGGCATTGCGACTAACCTAGCATACTTACTAAACCCGTCCACAATGACATAGACATAACGCATTCCAGCATACTTACTCTTGCTGGTGACCAGCTTGTCCATGAAGTCCATGGACAGGCTCTCGCCAGGTCTTTTCGAAATCGGAAGGGGCTTGAGAAGCCCAAGAGGGGCCTGTGTACGTGGCTTGTCTCTTTGACAAACTTGACAAGTCTCCATGTACAGCTTGGCGTCTCTCATCATTGTGGGCCACCAGAACTGTTGTACCCAAAATGTCCTGTGGCGTCATGACACTCTCCTAAAAATAAGGTATGCAAAGACTCCCGATTAGGCGCACACAGACGTTTATTCCTGGCCTTCTCAAGGAACAGCAAACTCCGCAGAAGTCACTTTGTCCTTCGCCTCGAGTCTGCGTATGATTTTAGCCATAAACGGATCCTCACGATAGGTCTCCACCAAAGAGCGGGTTACATCGTCCGCAAGCCCGAACTCAGTAATCAACCCACCAGAGAAATCAGGCCTACGTGATAAGGCATCAACAACTTTATTGTACTCCCCCTTCAGATACTGGGGTGCAAAGTCATACTGTTCCATGACTTCGATCAAGCGCTTCAAGGCATCAGAAAGTACTGGCTGGGTTCTCATCCACTTCAGGGTCTGATGATCAGTCGTGACGATGAAGAACCTCCCAAGGAGGTAATGTCTCCAATGGGTCAGTGCCTTGTAAATCGCGTAGAGCTCTTTCCCATAAGTGGACTTAGCCAACTTCTGAGACGACATCGTTTTGGACGTGTACTTGACTGGCCTCAACTTTGGCCCCTCCTGCTGCGCGAGCACGGCACCAGCACCCGTGGTTACTATGAACGGCTTGTCAGGATCAGGAAGTTTTAAGACCTCATGGTGTGTCAACGCATGCTTCAGATGTCTGAAAGCAGCCTCACACCTGTTTGTCCACTCCCACGGGGTTTCAAGGCGATTCAGGTCAGTCAAAGGGGCTGCCACTACACTATAGTTCTTAACAAAGTTTCGGTAGTTGCCGGTCATCCCTAAGAAAGACCTCATCTCAGTCACAGACTGAGGATGCGGCCAGTCACGAATGCTGGCCACCTTTGCATCATCGGGCTTCAATCCCTCCGCGGAAATCTCATGACCCAGATACAAGATCCAGGTGTGGCCAATCTCGCATTTCTCCCCGTTGATCTTGAACTGGTGTTGTCTGGCTAAGGACTTTGTCTAAGTGACCAACGTGCTCTTCGACAGTCCTATAAAGATAAGTATGTCATCGAGGTACACGATGACAAACTTGTCGAAGTAGTCATGAAAAATCTGATTCATGGCGTGCTGGAAGGTGTCAGGAGCATTGCAAAGGCCGAAAGGCATCACCACAAACTCGTACAGATTGTACCTGGTCTTAAAAGCGTTTTTGTGTTGATCCTCGGGCCGGATTGCAATCTGATGGTACCCGGATTTTAGATCTATCTTACTGAAGTACCGACACCCTTGCATTCGGTGCAACAAGTCATCGATGCGTGGTAGGGGCTCTCTGTTCTTGACAGTGATGGCATTGAGGCCCCTATAGTCAATGCACATCCCCAAGGTTCCCCCCTTCTTTGGCGCGAATAAGACAGGAGATCCGTAAGGGGAAACGCTAGGCCGGATCCAACCTTTCTCTACGAGTTCCTTGAGTTGTCGGCGAAGCTCATCAAGCTCGGCTGGAGACATCTGATAGATCCTACCCTTCGGAATACTGGACCCTGGGATAATCTCTACCGCATGGATGACCTCCCTCTCAACAACCCCTTTCAACTCTTCAAATAGATCAGGGTATTTAGCGACTACTCCCTCTAACTCCGGCGACATTTTCACCGGTTTGCCTGCTGCAGAGACATAAACTAAGTACATACCCTCCTCCGGATTTTGCTTATAATAATTATAGAACGCGGCCACACACATGCATCCGTAGGACTCGATCAGACTACTAGCCTTAAACTTACGTAATCTAGCGGTCCCCCCTCCAGGCAAAGTGTGTTTGACCACTTTTCGGTCCCAGTCAAACTGGGGTTGTGCAACCGAAAGATAGTACATACCCAACAGGATATCCATTGGGAGATCCTCGTTGACTAGGAACAAGACTCGATGTCTCAGTTCCCCTCCTGCGTATGGGAAAAAACACTCAATGTCTTTAAGGTAGTCATTAACTACCATGCGCTGTTTGTTGGCACAGGTCAACTCAGGCGCTGCACTTGCCCCTGTAAGTGCAGCCTCTCAACGCACGCGGGACTAATAAAGTTCCGCGTCGAGCAAGTGTCATAATAGGCCCCGGCCTTGCGGCCACCGATGACTACCTCGCCGACGAACAACTCACCCTTATAGGCTTTAGCCAAGGCCGTCCAAGAAGCTAGCGGGTCTGATCTAGACTCCTCCTCCTCTAGCTCCTCATCGAATAGAGGATCGATGGGTTTGAATGTGTTTGCGGGACCACAACGGAGTCAGTAGCTTGGGCCATCTCTCGCGATGGTGAGGGTGTGTCCACCAACTCGACCCTAGTAGGAACAACTACCATTCCTACTGGCCCGACGTGTTTCCCTAGGCGGTGCCAGAACTGCCGGTAACATTGCTACCCTGGGAAGCGGAGGATCCCGTCGCCTGCCCCATTGCAGGCGGAATTTTTCGGTCACCTTCTTATTCCAGCACTTGAACTGATTATGGCCATATGCGCCATAGCGGATACAAGCTTACCGGGTGTTCCGGTCTCTCCACACGTCCTCAGTGAGACCCGCCTTCTCCCATGGAGGAGCGTTAGGGTCAACTTGATTCCTAGACCGGGAGCCTCCGCGACGTTTACCGATCGCCTTACCTTTTTGAACTGAGGCAGCAACTGCTCCACCCCCTAAAGCCTCTATGCTACCTGCCTCTGAACCTACTCCCTCCTGGTAGTCGTCATTTAACTTAACGGTGGAACCATCGTTGTCGACGAACATAATGCAACCCTTCGCATTCCAGTTGGGAGGCAGTGCCTTCTTCCTTCCATCCGTCGTGGGTTGGGGTCCATGCCCTATCTTTGTTTCCAGGTCTAGGGCCTTCTTGCTAAACGAGGGAAAGTTGTGCACATTGATGTTTGCCTCACCCGACATTCCTGAGTGGAATGGGAATACGCCTCAGGTAAGTGGCAAGTAAGACTTGGGGGTCGTAACGCACTCCAGGTACATAGATCAGACGCTCCACTGCGTCTCTGGCATCCCTTACTAACTTGAACGCTCTAGAGCTCAAAGTCAGGATCGCATCAGCGGCCTTTTGGGCGTCCTGAGGACCATGCCACCTTTCCTCCACCAGCTTAAGGAAGTCCTCCAGTTTCTGGTTGACTGCCCAAGCGTGGAAGTCATGATTGTATCCCTGTAGTTGCACTAGCTCACTTAACCATCTTGCTGCACTCCCCTCAAGGTAGGAGGCAGCCACAAGCACTTCCTCGTGCAGCAAGGTCAACTTACACTTTACGTAGACTGGCACTTACCTCAACCATGTGTCAAGGTCTTCGCCCCTCTTATCCCCTGAGAAGGGTTTAGGCGAGGTGATGGCCGTCTTCGGAACCCATTGGCCTTGTCCCGGTACCTGCGCCGCTCCAGGTTGTGGACCCTGGGGTGCAGGCTGCTGCACTAGCTGCAGCTAGGCTGTGTGCCCTGCGGCTGTGCTGACTGCGAGACAGCAGGCTGCCCAATTACGACAGACTGCAACGGAGGTTGAGAGAACACTGTCTGTATCGGAACCTGTACACTAGTACCTGTTGGAAACCCGCCTGTCAAAGGCGTACCTAGGAAAGCAGCCTGCACCGAAGCTGGAGGGATGAATGGGGATACTCTAGTTACCGGTGGGACAAAAGGAGGAGGCTGAACCACCGGCCAGGCACCGGGCCCTGATGGTGATCGTGCTACCTGAACACGCCCGGCCAGCACGACCAAGCTTCGCTGAATGTCGTGCAAGAGAGATGTGTGGTAGTCCTGCATCTCCGCTACATCCAACAGGGCTGTCCTCACGACCCTCACATCGGCATCCATATTAGTCAGGTTCATCCCCTCTAACTCCCTAATGTCCGCTTGTCTCCTTTGCACTATAGTTCTTCTGATCATTCTATCCTTCTTTGCCTGTATCTCATCTAAGCGGACTGACTCAGGGTCCTTCTGATCATTCTATCCTTCTTTGCCTGTATCTCATCCATATTAGTCAGGTTCATCCCCTCTAACTCCCTAATGTCCGCTTGTCTCCTTTGCATCATAGTCCCTCTGATCATTGTGGTTGTGCCTCCTGAGCACTTGCTCTTTGTATGGCGACCTCTTCGGGAGTTAGCACTAACTGCTGGCTCGCCATGACACCAGCGGACTGACTCAGGGTCTGTGCAATCGTCGCCCCTACAGTCCCCGAACTGTTGGCATGGGAGCTTTGCTGCACAGTTGTGGCCATGGCTGCTGAAGTAGCGGCTTCGCTTGCAAATGCCTTGCTTGCCTCTGCGGCCCTAGCTCTCCGTTGCTGCTGCTGTATTTCCCTAAGCTGGCAAAACAAAAACCTCTCACCCTCGGGTCCTAATGCCACGTGGGCCAACGGGCGTCTAGCTGATCGCAAGATCCTATCATCCTCGTCAGGACCCTTCCTGTCACTCATAAGCTACAACACTAGACACAGTCTGCACTAGCACACATTCAATGCCTATCGCAGTGTAGTGCACAAACCGATTTAAAATAAATCAAATAATTAATCGGTGACTATGTTAGAGTCTACACATTCAGGTCCAACAGGTAAGTCCAACTTCCTACAAATGAAACTATTTTTAATTAATTAGTCCACGAACAGAAAGCAGATTTCTACACGCTGTTGTCTGTCAGATGTCAATGGTTGTACATCTTAACTAATCAAAAATAAAAATAGAATCGTTTGCATGGTTGTTTGCAGAGTGGAATCTTTCCCGAACTGATTACCTGGAACCTAAGCAATCAGGATAGCATGCTTGTCTAAAGTTGTGCACACGGTCGACCCCTGTGCCCCGAGTGTATGCTGAGTTGGCCAGCCATGCACAATGTTTACCCTCGCGTGGAGCGAGCCTTACACCGATCGATTGGCTGATCAAGAGGCGTTTAAGGACGGCCCTCGAAGTCCTCACAAATTATTTAACGTTGCAGACAGGATGGCGATCACAGCCAATGGAAGGTAACCTCGCCGGTGCTTATTTATAGACGCCCGGTACTCGTCTCCCCTGTAGGGCTGGCCTGCCCCTCATAACCCATCTATCAGCGCAGCAGGCAGACAAAGGACAAAGCAGCAAAGCATGCGTGCTCTACTCCCGGTGGGTTGGCATGGTGATCGTGACCCAGTGCTTCGTCCACGGCCCTTCAGATAGCTCTGCCCTCTCCTTCCAGATGCTCCACGTGAACAATGCTGACTCTCAAGGTTGAGCGCACGCGACTTCTCACATTAGAGGACTCTCAAGACAAAACACACATCCTCACGGTAAGAAGTGTCGAAGAGGGTAGGTAAGGTTAACAACAACGTACCTCAAAATAGCTGCCCCCAACCACATATATTCTCACCAGATGACATGATGCTGATTGTGATGACCAATCGCTACTTCGGCACAACCAGCATTATCCCGTTGTTCCACCTCAGCATCAATCGCACATCATATAGTTATCATCACACTGCGAACACCCAATAATCACCACGTAGCCTTCCTGGCGAATCCCCTCTCCACCTGGGTCGCCTGCTTGCCTTCGCCCTCCTCACTACACACTCCCTACGCCCGCTCGCCCAGCAGACCGCATGCGTGTCCAACAATTCGGGCATGAAATTGTTTATAATTGGCATTTTAGCCAAAATACTTGGAATAATAATACCACTTTTACTAGGAGTTGCTTTTTTAGTAGGGTGAAAGGGAGTGTGTAGCCATTGTACTGATGGTTTTGACAAAGATTCTGTAAAACTTCTAGCTCATTATTTAGTTCTTTCGAATGTTTACTCACATGTGGGACTCATTCAAAGAGATGATAAATATGAGAATTATAGTAAAATATATTGCCGACTCTGGTTCGAAACAGAAGAACTCAAAAAAGTTTCTTCGAATTATCTTGCCATAAATTCCTGTTCAAAGTATGCTAAGAACCATCTTTCTAGAAATCTTCCTTATAAATGTCACTATCTTATCCAGTTATCACTTATCGATGGACTGATTTTGAACACTTAAAAAATATATGATTGTTTTGATGACAATTCTATTGTTGATCAATAATCATTTAACCACTGCTAATCTGTTTTATAATAATCTACTCATAGATAATTTGACCTATTTTTGTGAAATCTTGACTCTAAGAAGAAGAAAAAGCATGTGCAATCAATTTTGCACTCTTGACATTCGGCTTACTGTGAATTCGACAGGACGAGAGCATGCCGGGAAAGGACAAGTTATCGCTACTGAACAAAATAAAATTGGATGATTGGACAATGCCTCAATTTTCGGGAAGAAACTTCTCAGTACTCGAGAAGGGGTGTATGCTCTGCTGAAATAGTCAATTACTCTCGTATCGGATAATGAGACTTCTCTTCAATGTATGCTCTGCTCAAATAGTCAATTACTCGTGTATCGTATAATGAGACTTTTCTTCAATGCATTATTTTGGATGTGGCAGGGCCCCTCGTTGCTAAAAAGAACATAATAGTTCCATAAGTGTACATTTTTTATAAATTTAAGTTGTGCCCTAAATCCCCCATAATAAATGTCGAATTCCGTTGCTCAGTCAGAAGCAGATCAATGCAAAAGGTGCCTCTGAGAAAGAAAAGTTGTATCGTGTGTATACAACAATGTATTCAAAAACGTTCGACCGTAGTACAATTAGTGAAAATTCTTGCAGAAGACGGTGCTTTAGAATATTCTATTATTGTGGCAGCCACTGCATCAGATCCCGCTCTTCTTCAGTTTCTTGCTCCTTATGCAGGTTGTGCTATGGGAGGCTTTTTTCGAGACAATGGAATGCACGTTTGCTGGTAATAGGAATATTTGAAAAAACTCTCATAAAAAATTGTACCATTTCTCTGAAAATTCCTGGTGATGGCACGATGTGCCGCTTCAATTCCTTGATATGATATGCGACCTGCTTCACAATTTTTAAAGACCATATTTTCCAAAACAAAGTTGTGCTGCCGCGTGGGAGCCTTTGCTGCTTCCTTTATGATATTTATGAAATTTTGTACGTTTTGGATGTAACATATGTGTTGTGGTTGATTATATGGCTCCCTACTTTTGAGGACAAAAGCGGTGGATAGTCTTGTTCCAATAGGTTGTGGTCAACGAGAACTTATTATTGGAGATAGACAAACAAGTAAGACAGCTATAGCTATTGATACTATATTGAATCAGAAGCAGATCAATGCAAAAGGTGTCTCTGAGAAAAAAAAGTTGTATTGTGTGTATGTAGCAATGGGTCAGAAGCATTTACATCAATATTGTTTCGACAATCCAGTGGGCATAAACTCTTCTGTAGATAAAATAACTTTTACCCCTATTTTTTCGGTGCGCCATCTCACAAACAATTTCGATGGGCTTTCAATTCAATCAAAGCCTATCCAACATCACTCCCATTGCGCAATGTGGCTTAAAGCATCCAACTCACCAGATTGGGACCAACTCGATGGGGACCACAGTAGGTTGGAAAAAAGTGGAAAAGGCTCGCGAACAAGCAGTTAGTGCATAAATTTTCATATTAAAAAAAATGAAAGAAGGTTCCCACACAAGGCACTAGCACAAGCAAAAATGGTTGAACAAATATAAAATATCAAAAGAGGAAATTTGTATATATGCCAACCCAGACATTTTTTTTTTAATTTTCTTTTTAAATCACACGGACACAAAATGTTGATTTTTGATCGATATGTGTGGAGTTGATTATCTTTCCGAAGGCAGCCTCATACATCTACACTTTCCATCTTCATATGCTAGATCCAATAGGACTAGGAGTCAGTCGAGCCGCTCGCTTACACAATACAACTTTCTTTCTCAGAGGCACCTCTTGCATAGATCTACTTATGATTAAGTATAGTATTAATAGTTATAGCAGTCTTACCTGTTTATCTATCTCCAATAATAAGTTCTCGTTGACCACGACCTATTGGAACAAGGCTATCCACCAATTTTTATCCCGTTTGCATTGGTTCATGCACATATTTACGTGAAATAATTCCCGGAGCTTTGACTTCTATA